AAAAAAAAAAAAAAAAAAAAAAAAAAAAAAAAAAAAAGGCTCCGCCTACTGAACCGAAAAGGGTGGCAGCAAGGAGGCAAAGAATTGCAATTTCAGTGCTCGTTCCAGTTCGACAAAACTCAGCGGAAAGAAGGCTCGAACGTCCTGGCGGTTCAAACCACCAGTACGTTTCCCAACCGTTTTTCTGAAACGCGCCTTTCATGCAGCCTTGTCGAGCGGGATGTACCAGGGTGCCGTTTCGCTGGGCATCCATCCAGGCAAAACGGGTCGCATGTGTGTGAGGCGACCCGTTTTGCCTGGATGGATGTCCCGCGAAACGGCACCCTGGTACATTTCGCTCGACAAGGCTGCACGAAAGGCGCGTCTCGACAAAATGGCGGGGAAACGTACCGGTAGTACTCGAAAACTGCGAATGTGAAAAGACAGTATGGCAGAACTCAAGGTTATCCACCGGTCCCACTTGCACGGATTAAGAGATTTTGGCCACGCGCATGGACACTCTCAATAGAACGTACGGTCATTATGGTTGTACTTGGGGCAACTTTCTGCCTAAATTCAGCGATGATGACCATCCATTTTATTCTGAGGAGGAAGACTGTAGGCCGCTCTGCAATCGCATGGTAGTCTATCAAAGTCCACATCCCGCCGAGCTTACGCTTCATGTTAGAGCACCACTACGTAACCCCCGATACGCTGTGACGCCCAACCTCACGCCCAACGCGACTTCCTGATCGGAGTGGGACGGGGACCCGGAAGTGCGAAGAAGGGGGTGTGCCAAGGATTTTAGGAAAGTGGGGGTAGAGTCTTAGGTCGGAACTGGGATCTCCTGTGGCAAGCTTCAGGGGTAAAAGCGTAAGAGGGGATATGTAGATCGTGCCGTGGTGCTTTAAGCCTTATGAGAAGGAAGGTAGACCATCTCTCGTGATTTATGCACGGCGGGAAAACTGCAGGTGTCGTGCAGCGTAGGGCCGGTGGCATGTGCAGTATATTCCAACCAAAGTTCCCGGGGTACTCTTCTACCATCCCAGCATCGACAAATCTAAACAATCTTGGATTCTCGAACAAAATCCGCCTGACATTACCCCTGCCGACGAACCCCAATTTCATCAGCTTTAAACCCAGAAATCGGAGATCACCATCGCCTTTGGTTTCGCCTTCGGGGTCGATTGCGAGGTTCGGCCAGTTGTCGGCGCCGCTCATAACAAGCTTCGGATTCTGTCGAGGCAGGCCGTAAACGGAGGTTGTGCATTCGGCGCTCAGCCTCGGTTCGAGTCTGTCGGGTAGTTCCCGAGGCTCGGCGCGCGCAGTAATGTCGGCAACCCTTGCACGACGGGCTGGGCCAATAGCGAGTTATGGAATTCCACGGAACCACTTTGAGTTGGTGATAGGGGAGGAGGAGATGGAAGGGAGGGAAGTTGGTGGTGATAACAATGAATCCCGGGGATATGTAGTATTGGGTATTGTCCGTATCGGGGTAGTCTGGACCTCTAGGATCGCTGGTTATAGCCTTATAGCCCAGTGGAAATCCCCCGCGCATAGTCGGTCGTGCTCCGTTAGACAGGGGAATTCCGGATATCGTAGTCTAAGTTGTTCACCTTCTCAATACTCTCGATATTTCGGGTCCCTCAGGTTTTCGTAGTTGGATGTCCAAGAGGGAGATCTCGCAGCCATGTCCGCCCAGTAGGCCGGTTCCTCCCCATCCTTACACGAGGTTAAGGCTGATTCACGTGGACGAGCGCGTACGTGGCGACTCGACTCTCTCGAGATCGCGATCGTGCACGCCCGTACTCGTAAGGAACAAGCCGATTGATTCCGGTTACAGCACAAGTGCAAATATCCCACCCATCACTACATGCCATACATGTGATGCAGAAGGACCATCAACTCATCACAACACTTCTGAGTGTTAACGACGAGACCCCAAACATCAAGACGAGCATTTTCAATCAGTTCTGAACGTATAGCTCCCGCAAGCGAACATTGGTTAGAGACAAAACAGGCATCACAAAACAGAGCTAGAAATCCGAAAAGATCACTAAAAAAAAAGGGAATTTACATTAATCTCATGCATGTATAAAAATCACAGGAAAATCCGAGACGATGTACACGCGAAGTTCAAAAGAGGAGGACCGTGATAACAAAATCGGCCATACCAGGATCCAAAATTGTACAGATGGACAGGGGAAGAAGGAGACAACAAAAAGAACCTTATCCCGTACCCACACAACCTCTCTCTCTCTCTCTCTCTCTCTCTCTCTCTCTCTCTCTCTCTCTCTCTCTCTCTCTCTCTCTCNCACACACTCTCTCTCTCTCTCTCTCTCTCTCTCTCTCTCTCTCTCTCTCTCTCTCTCTCTCTCTCTCTCTCTCTCTCTCCGTGTTCCCGATACCGGCAGTCCGTCGCCGCGTATCAACGCAGAGTTGTCATCTCGCTTGGTTCATGCATGCAAGCCAGGTTCGCCCGTGCGCCACAGTCCGTCGCGGCCCCGCACGTCAACCTCGCATACCCGACACCAGCTTGTCGGACCGCCCAACTCTCACGCTCACTTACCTTCCAAACTTGCTCGTTAGCCGAACCTCACTGATCGCGCTAACTTCAAAAATTCTTAGAGAGCCAACTAATCGTGCTTGCGAAATTTATTGCGTGCACGCTTGTGTGAGGGATACGGGATTAGCCCCAAGTGATGAGATGGAGAAGAGAGGAAGTGCCTACGTCTGCATGTCTGGGCCGCGGCGCGAGGGACTGAGCCACTCTCCGCTCATCGATCCGGTCATGCAGGCATAGGAACCAATCAGATCAGGGAAGAAGGCGTGCATGCGCGGGCGAGCACAAGGTGGGAAGAGGGAAGAACACGAAGGACATCAAGAACGGAAAAATTACAGCTGCAATTACACCCGCCAAAACTCTTACAGTTACGTGCAATATTAAGGCGCAAAAGGAAATCAGAACCCAGATCTCTTCGCGGCAAGGCGTGCGTAAGCAGGGAGCGCTGCGCAGCAAAATCCAAAAAATGCCTAAATTCCTATCTTAAGTCCTAATTGCAAAAGAAAATTTCCGAGAGCCCATGGGGGAGGGGGCTCGACACCAGTTGAAAATTCAAAAACAATATTCCCGCACGATGATCGCGCCAAAATCCCCATTGCCCACAGCAAAACAAGAAAGAAGAAGCTATGGTACAGTTATTCTTCACGCTCGCTAAGGCGCGGTTATCCAACCATTGGCACGGAATCTCCCCGACACCAATCCAACATTCTCAGCAGAAAAACGAAAAAGAAACGGGGACATCCATGCAAATTGCTCGCCTGACCCGTCTGCCCACCGCTCACCCCTTCGACCCGTCGTATTTCCTCAAAACAGCTTTGCGCAGAAAATCGCACGGTTTCAGAAAGTGGTTCGTCACAACGCGGCTTTTGTCGAACATGAGATCTTTTCGTCATGGGCTGGGTGGCACACTACCCTGACAGCAAAGCCATTTACCAAAGGCATCATATTTCCGCCGTCCTTGTAATACAAGGACAATCCTTGGACACCATGCAGGTGAGAAAAATGGAAAGAAAAGAAGAAGAAGAAGAAGAAAGGATGCCTCACCATTTCGCAGAGGTATAGGATCATGGCAGGATGGAGGGGTATCCATCTGCGGATTTCCCCCTTCCCCCAAACACAGTGCACTCTGACCATGAACGCATACAGGCTATCTTCCCGGTGCAATACAGTCATGATGACTGAGGGTGAAAAATCTTTGGGGAAAGACGGTAGCATCTATCTCTGACACCACCTGTACCGGGGGGCAACCCCCTGCCTTGCGCTGATTAATGCGCCCCCCCACAGTCATCTCCTAATTCTACGGGGCCAGCAAAGCTAGAGCCTCCAGGTAGGCTGCCCCCTGCGTTGACAGCTCAGTGGCACGGCAAATTGAAATTGACTGTTGGGAAAATTATGCACATGCGTAAAACAATGGTCTTGTGGTGGTGCCCTTGGGGAAACCAACAAAGGAAAAGGGGGAAAAAAAATGTGGGGTGGCAGTTTGGAGGGGGAAAAAAAAAAAATAAAAAAAAATTGTCTGTAAAGCGACACTGTTGGTGGTCAAAAGGCTGACGCTCCCTGCTAACAGATAGAGCCCTAATATAAAATGAGATTGGGCCCCCAACCAAAGGTCCCCTCCGCTTGCAAGTGGGGGTGGTGGCTGCTGTTCAAAACTAGGGTTTTCCTGTAGAGCAATTATGTAAGGTTATTTCCTATAGAAGATAGAATGGCCAATGCCGATTTGACCTCTACTTGGCCCCAGTCTAGAGATCCCCAGATCTTCTTTTTTTTTTTTTTTGTTGGCGGGGGGGGGGGGGGGGGGGGGGGGGGGGGGGGGGGAAATCCCAAAAAAAAAAAAAAAAAAAAAAAAAGATCCCCAGATCTCACTCTCACCCCTGGGGCCAAGTCCCACTAGCAGCGTGGAGTTTCCTCTAAAGCCCGAATCTGATCGTGTTTGTGGAGATGTGCCCAGATTCAGGCGTTGAGGAAACTCAACGCTGCTAGTGGGACTTGGCCCCTGGTCTGTGGTCTTCGAAAATTG